GTGTCAGTGTCATAGATTGTCTTATACTTTTTCAATGGTTTAACATTTAAGACCAAACAATATATGACCCATGTGTGTTTGGTATAAATCTGAATTAGTTTGTTATGTTGTTATATTCTTTATGTTGTCTGATGAAAAACAACTACGGTTTAATTACAATTATATTCAACTACTATAGAAACAGACAGGTTTACTGGTCTCCCTGCAGAGAAAAGACTGTGCTGTGTAATTTAGGTGAGACTCAAGACAAAATGCATCTCACGTTTCATTGCTTATTATATGATGATTTAATGGCTATTCTCTTTAATAAAACTGAGGTAATTGGTAGGTAAAACTGATTATAGGAAACTTAAGTTTGAGTATTTTAGGGAGATTACCTTTTGTTGTTGAGTATATTTGAGCATTGGACAGAAGAGAAGGTTCTTTCTTTGCAATGTTATGTATAAAGTTATGATCATTTATGACAAATATTTCACCACAACAGGATTTTGACCCATGCAGGCTGGGTATTTGTATGTGCATGAAACAATCACTATAGTTTAAATATACAACTGCATGTACTCTACTGTAGAATTTACTTCATTGTGGCGCCACCCTCTGGATTAGTTTGTTATGTTGTTATAGCTGACTCCAGTGCAATAATCAACTGGGGATTACACTTAAATACTAATTTGTGGAAAAACTGAACTGTGGAAGCCGAGTACAGGATGGCATACAAATGAGAGAACACACAAAGGTAAATGCATTAATCCTTCAGAACCAAAAAACTCTACAAAGCTCAGAATTTAATTTTCTAATGAAACTAAGACTTATTAAGCGATACGTTAATATTAGTCGCTGTTACCAATTTCCTGTTCTGCTGGCCAAATATTTCCCAGAATCCAACTTTGTATTATTTATCCAGAGGCAGTTTCACTCTAGCTATTTACAAAGCTTCAGAAACCAAAAGAAAAAATCTAATTATTTAGTTTAAATCTAACATTTTCAGCTATACTGTTAGATCATAATTTGGCAACAGAACAGTCATGCTGTCTTGCACTTACTCACATGCACAGCCATCAGTTATACTTTCTATATGAAAAGGGGTTTGAATTATTCATGTGCACCCTTGATGTTCTACACATCTGGTCTTTGATAACCGACTGCTTGCCTTTGAGCTGTTGAGAGAGCTAAAATTAGAGGAAAAAAACACAAACTTCTTAAGAAAAACGACCTTTATTGAAGACATTCTTGAATGTCGACAGCTGCATTTGATATTAGAGTGGTATTCAAAGAATAAAAAGACATCGGGACAGCACATAAAAAAATATTTTTTAAAATAAAGAAAAATACACTACCAACTCAGAAATTTCATTTTTGAGTTGGAACACCTAAAGACTAGTTACTTTCATACTGATTTGCAGTCCTAAATTGTTACATAATATGGCAGGGATAAAGAACTACCACTAGAAAATCTCCAACTCAACATATGTAGTGTTAACTTTACAAAAAAAAAAGGAGAATAACACTGTACATCTTAAAAACATTAAATATACACATGTTCTTGTTCAGTCTGACTTCTGTTTCAAGATGGTGAATTAAGTATATTAGGGTTATATGGCATAAACAAAACTTCAGGTCCAAGGTGCAATCATCTACTCATCATCGTCATCGTCATCGTCTTCTTCCTCCTCCTCTACCTCCTCTTCGTCCTCTTCCTCATCGTCGTCATCTGCCGTAGCAGCCGATGCTGAATCCACTTTGCCCTTCGTGCGATAGGCAACGACATCCTGTGGCAAGCACAGAAAATGTGTTTTTTTAAGAAAGACCCTTTTACTCTCTTTTACATGCTTCAAAGTAAAAAAGACCCAAAACTTTTATAGTTGGACCTCAAAAACAATTGGTCTATTTACCTTGTCGTACTTCTCCTTCAGCTTTGCAGCCTTCTTCTCATATGGCTGCTTGTCCTCTGCAGTTGAGCTGTTCCACATGTCTCCCAACTTCTTTGCTGTGTCCCCAATGGAGAGTCCAGGATGCTCGCTTTTTACCTTGGGACGAAAGTCAGCACAGAATATGAAGAATGCAGACCTGTTGGGTGGAGGGAAAGATGTCAGTGTTGAAGATATAATAATCCACTTTGCATTTATTTTTAGAAGAAGAAAAAATTGAGTGTGGAGCAGGTTGATTGTGGTACATACGGTGGTCTCTTGGGGGCATTGGGGTCCTTGAATCGCTTCTTCTTCTGGCCCTTGGGGGGAATGTAATTCTTCATTTCCTTCTCATAGCGCACCTTGTCTAGTTTGGCCATATCTTCAAACTTGCCTTTTTCTTTCGGAGACATAGTCTTTTGGGGGGGAAAAAACACAAGCGAGAGAGTTTTAGAGATAAAATACAGGATTCAGAGAATTAAATAAATGTAATTATTGACAGTAATTTATTGTACCTTCCAACGCTCAGAGCATTTCTTGGAGAACTCTGCAAAGTTGACAGAGGCCTCGGGATGTTTCTTCTTGTGCTCCTCTCGGCATGTTTGCACAAAGTAGGCATATGAGGACATTTTGCCTCTCGGCTTCCTTGGATCTTTTACCATCTTGGATTACTAAATATATAGGGGAAAAATAAAAAAATAAATATATATATATAT